CGCTGAGGCTGCAGTGAGCATGATGACGCCACTGCACTCCAGCCCGAGCAACACAGTGAGACCCTAAGTTGAAATAACAACAAAAGCTTCTGCTCTGCGAAAGGCACTGTTAAGAAAATGATCAAGGTGGGTGGGGTGCAGAGGTTCACACCTGTAACCCCAGCATTTTGGGAGGCCACGGTGGGAGGATCACCTGAGCCCGGGAAGCCAAGACCAGGCTGGGCAACATGGCAAAACCTCATCTCTACAAAAAAAATACAAAAAGTAGCCAGGTGTAGTGGCACGTGCCTCTAGTCCCAGCCACTCAGGAGGCTGAGGTGGGAGGATCACCTGAGCCCGGGCAGGTTGAGGCTGCAGTGAGCATGATCACACCATCTCACTCCAGCCCGGGCAACACAGTGAGACATGGTCTCAAAAAAACCAGTTCTGCTCTGCAAAAGATACTGTTAATAAAATGATAAAGGCAGCTCAGATGCAGTTTTCATGCCTATGATCCCAGCATTTTGGGGGGCTGAAGTGGATCACTTTAGGCCTCTTTTTCTTTTTTTTTAAGATGGAGTTTCGCTCTTCTCGCCCAGACTGGAGTGCAATGGCTGGATCTTGACTCACTGCAACCTCCGCCTCCCGGGTTCAAGCAATTCTCCTGCCTCAGCCTCCAGAGTAGCTGGGACTACAGGCATCCGCAACCATGCCCAGCTAATTTTTTGTACTTTTAGTAGAGGTGGGGTTTCACCACATCGGCCAGGCTGGTCTCTAACTCCTGGCTTCAGGTAACCCACCCACCTTGGCCTCCCAGAGTGCTGAAATTATAGGTGTGAGCCACCGTGCCCGGCCTGACCTCACCTGTCTCCACCAAAAAAATAAAAATAGAAATAATAAGATAAAATGAAAAGGCAAGTTTAGACTTGAAGAAAATATTTACAATATGCATATTGAACAGAAGTCTTGTTTCCAGAATATGCAAAGACCTCTTTTAAATTCATAAGAAGATGGCAAACAACCCTTTTTTGTGGTTGGTGTTGAGTATCAACCACAAAAAGTAGATAAATGGATGATTAATAAGCCCATTAAAAGATATTTGACATCATTTGGGAATATTTACAATTAAGACCTCAATTAACACCATAGTAAGCATTATTAGAATGGTTAAAACAAAAAAAATACAATACCAAGTTAGCGTGTATAAACTGGTAAAATTGTAGAGAGACTGGAAGGCTAGGCGCTGTGGCTCAGGCCTGTAATTCCAGCACTTTGGGAGGCTGAGGTGGGCAGATCACTTGAGGCCAGGAGTTGGAGACCAGCCTGGGCAACACGGCAAAACTCTGTCTGTACTAAAAATAGAAAAATTAGCCAGGCATGGTGGTGTACGCCTGTCGTCCCAGCTACTGGAGAGGCTAGGCATGAGAACTGTTTGAACCTGGGAGGTAGAGGTTGCAGTGAGCAGAGATCATGCCACTGTACTCCATCCTGGGCGACAGATGACAGGGTGAGACTCTGTCTCAGGGGAAAAAAAAAAAAAAAGACTTGGAAAACAATGTTTAAAAGTCCACTGAAACCAAACCTATATGAATGTCCTACAACCCTGGATACATACAGGACAGAAATGCACAATGTGTTCATCAAAATCCAGGTACTGGCCAGGCAAGGTGGCTCACACCTGTAATCCCAGCATTTTGAGAGGCCAAGGCAGGTGGATCACGAGGTCAGGAGTTCAAGACCAGCCTGGTCAACATGGTGAAACCCCATATCTAATCAAAATATAAAAACTAGTCAGAAGTGGTGGTGGACACCTGTAATCCCAGCTACTCAAGAGGCTGAGGCAGAGAATTGCTTGAACCTGGGAGGCGGAGGTTGCAGTGAGCCAAGATCGTGGCATTATACTCCAGCCTGGGTGACAGAGCGAGACTTCATCTCAAAAAATATCCAGGTAGGACCAAGCCAGGGCAGCTCCATCTTCCCCACCTCCTGAGCTGCTCCCCTCCACCCCCCAATGCCTCATCATCCTTCAGCTCTTAGCTCTGACCTTCCTGCTCCCGGAATGTGACCCTGACAGGCAGCATGTCCCCTCTGATGGGGCCTTTGCTCTGCAGAGGGAGGGAAGGGCTGGTCTTGGGGGTCCTGGAAGTCAGATGTCCCTGGACAAAATAATACATTGTGATGAATTCATAGAATAGAATATGTGAACCAAGCCCATGCACCTCATGTTGGGTAAGAGAAGCCAGACACAGCACACTTTTATGAAGTTTTAGAGTGGCCAGCACTAGAGGACAGATTAAGAATGTTGGTCACTCCTGGGAGACGGAGGAGCTGGGCTGCAGTGGGTGGAGGGCTGCTGGTGTTTTATTTTTTTATTTGGATGCTAGTGGCGCAGGTATGTTCCATCTGGGAAAATTCACTAAGCTGTTCATTTAAAATTTGTGGGTTTTTTTTTTTTCCCTTTAAGCTGTTTACTTATAATCTGTGCATGTTAGCTTTCAAGACAACATTTTATTTATTTTTGAGATGGAGTTTCGCTCTTGTTGCCCAGGCTGGAGTGCAGTGGCACGATCTTAGCTTACTGCAACCTCCACCTCCCAGGTTCAAGCGATTCTCCTGCCTCAGCCTCCTGAGTAGCTGGGATTATAGGCATGTGCCACCACACACAGCTAATTTTGTATGTTTAGTAGATGGAGTTTCTCCATGTTGGTCAGGCTGGTCTCAAACTCCCGACCTCCCAAAGTGCTGGGATTACAGGCAGGAGCCACCATGCCTGGTCTCAAGAGGACTTTTTAAATGACTGTTGAGGGCCGGGCGCGGTGGCTCAAGCCTGTAATCCCAGCACTTTGGGAGGCCGAGGTGGGTGGATCACGAGGTCAAGAGATCGAGACCATCCTGGTCAACATGGTGAAACCCCGTCTCTACTAAAAATACAAAAAATTAGCTGGGCATGGTGGCGCGTGCCTGTAATCCCAGCTACTCAGGAGGCTGAGGCAGGAGAATTGCCTGAACCCAGGAGGCGGAGGTTGCGGTGAGCCGAGATCGCGCCATTGCACTCCAGCCTGGGTAACAAGAACGAAACTCCGTCTCAAAAAAAAAAAAAAAATGACTGTTGAATGAGCCAGGTACAGAGGCTCACATCTGTAATCTCAGGATTTTGGGAGGCTGAGGCGGGTGGATGGTTTCAGCCCAGTAGTTTGAGACAAACCTGGGCATCATGTGAAACCCTGTCCCTTATAAAACAAAAAAACACCCTACTCACACACAACAATCAGCTGGGCATGGGGGCACATGCCTGCAGTCCCAGGTACTTAGGGTAATGAGTTGGGGGGATCACTTGAGCTCAGGAGGTAGAGGCTGCAGTGAGCTGAGATTGTACTACTGCACTCCAGCCCAGACAACAGAGTGAGACCCTGTAAAAAAATAAACCGTTGAATGAATCTGTTATCGAAACACCAGGGGTTCAGTCCAGGTCCTGCTGCTGGCCGCACAGAAAGCCAGTCACTAAGACGTGTTGCCAAGAAAGAAGGCTTTAATCAGGGGCACAGCCAAGGAGATGGGAGATCAGTCTCAAATCCACCTCCCTGACTAAAACTAGGGGTTTATATACTTTTTCTTCTTTGAAATGGGGTGTTGCTCTGTCGCCCAGTGGCACAATCAGCTCACTGCAATCTCTGCCTCCTGACACGAAGCGATCTTCCCACCTGAGCCTTCTGAGCAGCTAAGACTAAACGTGGGTACCACCACACCTGGCTAATTTTTGTTTTTTGAGAGAGACAGGGTTCTCTGTGTTGCCCATGCTGTTCTCGAACTCCTAGACTCAATGGATCCACTCTTCTGGGCCTACCAGTGTTGGAATTACAGGCACGAACTGCCACACCCAGCCTTTTTTTGTTTCCAATATGGTGAATCATATTAATTTACAAATGTTAAACCAACCTTGCATTCCTAGAATAAGCCCCACTTGGCCATCGTGTACTATCTTTATATTGTGCTAAACAGGATTTGCTGAACTTGTACTCAGGGCTTTTGTCTACGTTCATAAGGTATATTGGCCTAGAGTTCTCTTATCTTGCATTGTCATAGCCTGGTTTTGGCAATAGGATAAGCTGCCTCATGACATCAGTCAGGAGGACAAGTGGATGTGGGTGAGCATGATTTCCATGTTTGGAAGACAGCACTCATGAGCCCGCCTGAGGTCACTGTAAGGAAATCACATTTCCTTAACAGGGTTGTTCTGGTTATCTGGTTCTTCCTGAATGAGCTTTGGGTAGTTGGTGTCTTTCAGTAATTCTTTCCTTTCAAATGAGTGGAATTTATCTGTGGCACATAGTTCATCCTGTCCCTTTCTCCTCTTCGTATCCGCAGGACCTACGGTGCTGTCCTGCTTCCATTCCAACCCCATGCCTTTTTCTCCTGAGCAATCTTAGTGTTTTTTTTGAGATGGAGTCTTGCTCTATCACCCAGGCTGGAGTGCAGTGGTGCAATCTCAGCTCACTGCAACCTCCACCTCCTGGGTTCAAGCAATTCTCCTCCCTCAGCCTCCTGAGTAGCTGGGATTACAGGTGCCCGCCATAATGCCCAGCTAATTTTTTGCATTTTTAGTAGACGGGGTTTCACCGTGTTAGCCAGAATGGTCTCAATCTCCTAATCTCGTGATCCACCCTCCTGGGCCTCCCAAAGTGCTGGGATTACAGTTGTGAGCCACCGCATCCGGCTTTTATTGGGAGTGGGTTCCCCAGCCCCACTGCACAACTCTTAAAGTGACCCAGGTAGATGGGCAAATTCAAGGTCCTCCTACTTCAAGGGGAAGTAGAGACTGAGGAGAGACCTGCCGTGGAGGCGCTATCTGCACCTGGAATCAGGAGCCATGAGAGGTCCCTGCTGGCTCTAATGCTCCCTCCTCCTACCCAGAACCCCTCAGGCAGCACCCACAGCAGGAAGAAGGAAAGCTAGACCCTGGGGAGGACTAACAGGGCAGCTGCTGCTTTCTGGATGGACAGCTACAGGCTTCACAGTCTGGGTCAGCATGTGAGGTTTTATTCACAATCCATGCTCCACCCCCTCTGCCCTGGGACAGGACCATAGGGCGAAGCCCAAGCTGGGGGGCTCAGGCAAGAGTCCTGGCCCTAGTCTAGGGCTGGAGGGAGGGGGGCGGGGCTCTGGGCCCTAGTCCTGGGCCGGAGGGTGGGGAGACTGTGGGGAGGCGGGTGGTGCTCCTGGTGTGGCTCGCACGTGCTGCTTCCGGTGACGCAGCACCTCGGTGGGTGTGAACAGGAAGTCCTTCCCGCAGGCCTCGCAGTGGTAGGGCCTTTGCATGACAGACGTCTTCTGGAGGGTCTCGGGGGCAGCTTCCTCAGCCCCTAAGGGAGGGAAAAGGAGGAGGCTCTGAGGGTGGTGTTCTAGTGCATATGTCTACTCCCACCCAAAAGCCAGGAACCCGTGGGGGTCGGGTTGTCTCCTGGCCTTTGGGGAACTCCAAGCCTTCCTTAACAAAAACACACGGGCCTGTCTTTACTGTGTGTCCCGGTCGTGAGAAAGGTGCAGAGAGAAAGACACAAGAAGAGACATGGAGACAAAGGCAGACAGAGCCAGCCTGGGGTGGGGGCGTGTGGCACCGGGGCTGCCTCCCATGCTGAACCCCAGTGTGTGGCATCCCTGGGTGACAACAGGGTGGACATAGCCAAGGCAGAGACAACTGCTGGACAGAGAAAGAACAAGAGACAGCCAGAGAGAGACAAATGAAAGGACAAAGACAGCGACACAGACACCACAGGCGACAAGCGGACAGAAGGAAGTGGCGTCCAGGCTCCCTGCCCTGTGCTCCTGATCTTCAGGATGAGGCCTGTGTGTGGCACCAGCCAGGGCCAGTGGGTGGAGGTCGTCAGTCCCCGGAGCATCTAGCAAGTGCCCACACACACAGGACACCATCGTGGGACAGGTAGACAGCTGGGCAGAGGTGGCCAGGTCCCCACAGCCCTGTGCTTGCCTGGGGGCCCCTCCTGTGGGGCCTGGGGGCAGGTGTTCTCATGGGCGATGCGCTCCAGGGGCGTGAGGGGTGCGTGCAGGCCACAGTGGGGGCAGGTCCAGAAGGTTCGGAGACAGTCGCTGTACAGGTCCGTGTCACTCTGCCGCAGACCGTCTGTCAGGGCTGGGGCCCACCTGGGACCCTTCCCAGAAGCCCTCAGGGCCGTGGTCCCCACTCGGGAGCCACATCCCTGGACTAAGGTGAAATGTGGCTGTGGGGTCAGGCGTGGGGACTTCCCGAACTCCCACCTTCAGGGAGGCAGGTTCATGCTCACCGTGAGGCAGTTGTAGGTGAGGAAGTCGGTGACTGCGTAGCCCCCCTTGGTGGGGTGAGGGGACAGGGTGGAGCTGCCAAAGAGGCCAGGAAGATGGGGGGTGACTGGGATGGTCTGGGGTCCCACATACAGGTTTTGGGCTTCGAGCCCCGTGAGCCGCCGGAGGCTGTAGGGAAGCTAAGGAAGGAGAGTGAGACAGATAGGGAGATAACCACCAGAGCACCTGGAGCCAGCTGTGCCTGAAGCCCTCCCTCAGACTTTGCAGTTATGGGAGCCAAGTGCTTGAGCCAAGCCCTGCAGACATGCATGACCAGGGCTTTGTCTAGAATATACCTGACGACTCACCTCGATTTAAATTGCCTTCCCCAGGCCCCTCTTCTGCCCCTGTCACTGGTGGGACCCCATTTAGATCTTGAGTCTGGCCTCCTCACCCCTCCTTCCCCTGGCACGTCAGCCTTGGTCCCCTCTCCGTGGCTCACTTGGCTCCTGCCCGTTTGTCCTCAAGCCCCTCTACTCCAGGAAGTCAGCCTGGATTACACTCTCTCCTCACCCCGGTACATGAAGTAGAGTCAGGAGCAATTCCTGCTCCCCCCCTAAGAGTCGGGCTGGTTTCAAGTCTGCTCAGTGCAGTTCCCACCCTGGGCACACACCCACAACCTCCTCCTCACACCCTGCCCGTCCTTGACTTAGCAAGGAGGGATCAGCTACACTACGGAAGGCGCTTAGTAAACAGGGCAGCAGGGGGTAGTGTGGCTTTTGAGCCAGGCTCCTGGGATCAAATCCTGGCTCCACCCGGACCAGTGGAGTGACCCTAGGCAAATGACTGAACCTGTGTGGCCTGAAAACCCCCAGCTGTGCCCACATGGAGTAGAGGGGAAGCCAGGCCTTCCCAAGGCGTAAGCCCTGTGGCAGACGCCCCCTGTGGACATAGGCAGGCACTAGCGTCCTGGCAGAGGGTACCTTGGATGCTGTGAATTGCAGCAGTTCCTTGCTCAGGACGACCACCTCCTTGGGGCTGACAGGCTCCTCCTCCTCCTCCTCCTCCTCCAGCCGCTGTCGGGCCTGGTGCACCAGCTGCCTATCCAGGGCGCTTTCCCAGCGGGCACGGAGCCGCAGGGAAGCCGCCAGGAGCCGGACGGCACTTTCGCTGTCTGCCAGCTGTAGCTCCAGCCAGCCATCGGCCACCAGGCGGGTGCAGTCACCGTTGGTGTCCAGGGACCGGCTAAACAGCAGGAGGGACTGGAAGAGAAGGGCAGGAGACGGAGTGGGTGTGAGGGGCAGCATGCTGCTGGACACAGGCCTGCCCAGGGGGCTCCTGCCCACCCACCATTTATCTGCCTATGTGAGGCATCCACCCTCCCACCCTCTACCCACGGTAGCAGGCACCCCTGTGGGTGCTGGGGATATGGCACGTACAAGGCAGCTGCTGAGTCAGGGAAGGGGACTGGGGGGGCGCGGCGGCAGACGGAAGGGAGCTGGAGGGGACGGCTGCATTCTCAGGCAGGGCGGCAGAGGAACCACCGCCACTCGTACACACAGACATGCAGGGCGAGCCCGGACCGAGCGCACGCTCCTCTGTGAGGACGGAAGTCAGGCCTGTATTTCCCTGTGTTGTGCCTCATAAGATGTTGGGGAAAATCTTCGGGGCTGGGGCCAGGGCAGATGACAGGGGAGGACTGGCCATGTGTGCCTGGTTTAGGGGCCACAGATGGTACAGGAGGCTCCATATGCTGTTCTGCCTGCTTGTGTGAGTGGGAAGATTCTCCATCTTGCTCACTGCAACCTCCGCTCCCAGGTTTAAGCTATTCTCCTGCCTCAGTCTCCAGAGTAGCTGGGATTACAGGCGCCTGCCACCACACCCAGCTAATTTTTGTATTTTTAGTAGAGACTGGTTTCACCATGTTAGCCAGGCTGGTGTCAAAATGCTGACCTCAAGTGATCCACCCACCTTGGCCTCCCAAAGTGATGGGATTACAGGCGTGAGGGCCTGTAAACGAGCGGCGCAGTGCCAGGAGAGCGTAGCGGCTTGGCTAGCACGCCTGTTCAGCTTCCCACGCCCCACTGGCCACCGAGCCGGTCCCTCGGCCTGCACTGCCCACTTCCCCGCACACCTGTTCAGCTTCCCGCGCCCCACTGGCCGCCGAGCCTGTCCCTCGGCCTGCACTGCCCACTTCCCCGCACACCTGTTCAGCTTCCCACGCCCCACTGGCTGCCGAGCCTGTCCCTCGGCCTGCACTGCCCACTTCCCCGCACACCTGTTCAGCTTCCCGTGCCCCACTGGCCGCCGAGCCTGTCCCTCGGCCTGCACTGCCCACTTTCCCGCGCTCACACGAGCATCCAGCATCGCTCTTTTTTGGTTTGCCGTCTACCTCCCCCATCCTATCTGAGCCCCATGAGCGTGGGGAGTTTGGTCGACGTTGACCACAGCTGCATACCCGGCCCCCAGAACACTAAAACAGTGCCAGGCCCACCAGGTGGGCTGGAGGGACGTGTGACACACACAGGAGTGACTGAGCCTCGCTGGCTTTCGTGGTGTTGGTGGCAATCACAGTGCCAGCAAAACCCTGAGGCTCTGGGAGTGCGCAGGTCCCTCTCTCCCCTCCCGTTCCCTAGGAGGAGCCCGGCTGTGCTGACAGTGAGCGGGGAGGCCGGAGGGGGCGGCGTGATGCTGGAGCTCTGGCTCGGCCACCTGCTCACTGTGTCACTTAAGTGACGTGTCCCTGCCCACGCCTGAGCTTCAGTCCCCTCAATAAAGGGAGACCCGCAGAGCTGTGGAAGGACTCCAAGGACAGGCCTCAATCATGGGGGGACAATCAGGAGCACTGAGGGCAGGGCAGCGGCTGCTGTGGGGCCCATGCAAGGTCCTCTGTGATCTGAGTTCAGCCTCACAGCCTCCACCCAGGCCGCACCCTCCTCTCCCTCCCAACAGTGGCTGGCCCTCCTGGCTGTGACCATGTCCAGCTCTGCTCAGAAGCTCCGGGCTCCTGCCTCTCTGGCCTCATCTCCACATGATCCCCCTGCCGACTGCATGCTAGGCATGTGTGTGCCTCCAAGACTCTGTGCAGGCCCCACCGATGGGGACACTCTGCCCCAACATCCACAGGGCTCTCCTCTTTGGGTAGGGGCTTGGGGCCCCCAGGTGGCCTTAACTTGCACCACACCGTGTGTCCACCCCCACCCTCACCCTCACCCCCACCCTCCCACACACAGCTCTGGGCGTCACTGTTTTGCTGCTATCACCGTCCCCTGCCAGGGGAGCCTGGGACAGGAGGGGCTGGGCTTGTTGCCTGGTTCCCTGCTGTGCCCTTGACCCCAGGCACCCAGCAGGCACACTGCAGGTAACTTGAGCAAGTTCATGAATGAGAGAAAAAGTCAGCAGCCACACCAATCGCCCAAGGCTGACCCTTGCAGCCAGCCCTGGTGGCAGACGGCCCCTCCAGACCCACATGGTGCCCCTACCCACCAACCTGGGCAACACAGCTCTCACATCTGGGCATGGGGGTACGGGCGGGGGTGGGGCAAAGGCCCACCTGGAGGGCAGGGATGCGGACGCAGTTCACCAGGTACGGCTTGTTGGTCTCCAGCAGGGACACAAAGCTGAGGAGCTGGTATTTGCTGCTCATCTTCTGGTCGTCTAAAAGGTTGAGGAGGACCGTTCAGGCCCATGAGAGGCCTACCTGTCCCACCCGGTCAACGTACACATCAGTAGAAAGAATCTGCTCATGGCTGGGTGCTGCGGCTCACACCTGTAATCCCAGCACTTTGGGAGGGCAAAGCAAGCAGTTCACCTGAGGTCGGGAGTTCGAGACCAGCCTGACCAACATAGAGAAACCCCATCTCTACTAAAAGTACAAATTAGTCGGGTGTGGTGGCTCATAGCCTGTAATCCCAGCTACTAGGGAGGCTGAGGCAGAACTGCTTGAACCTGGGAGGCGGAGGTTGTAGTGAGCTGAGATCACGCCATTGCACTCCAGCCTGGGCAACAAGAGCAGAAGGCGGGAGGGAAGGCGGAAGGCAGCAGGGAGGGGAATATGCAGGACCCAGCTGGGAACAGGCAGTACCCACAGGACAGGCCTCCTGACCAGCGCCTGCTCACTGGGCACAGACACGCTGGCTGGGGCTGGCCATCACCACCTTAGAGAGGGCGAGGCCCAGCAGGGGTGAGTCACCCAACGCCACCCAGGGAGGCCTGGTGCTGGAACCACCCCCTCTGCGGGTCCCTGTCCGCAATACCAGCATGGGTGGGTGTGGGAAGGATCAGGAGGAGCCAGGGCAGCCATAGTATTCCTGCTCCCCACATCCCGGGTAAGGGTTCTGTCTGCCTGGGCTCACTGTACCTCGGCTTCCATCGCAGCTGCCAGCCTCCGGCTCCCGTATGTGCAGCACCTCAGGGCTGCCAGCAAAGACACAGGTAGGGTGCAGCACGGCACCCTGCTTGGCCTGCGTGTGGAAAATCTGCAGAGGATGGAGAGGAAGCACAGGCCCTCCCATGTGGTCTCTCCTCTGCCTGAGACACCTCTCCTCCATCCTCCAGGCCAGGTGCCCTCCTCCAGGAAGCCCTCCCTGACTCCTCCAAGTCTGCGTCAGGCGCCCCTGTGAACTCCCACAGTGCCCTGGGATCCCTAATCTCTGCCCACTCTGGGTGGTCTGGGGATAGGTCTGTCTTCCCACTGGGCTGTGGGCCCCATTGGGACAGAGCCACGGTTGTTTCAGTCACCACTGCTTCCCCAGCATGGGACAGGCACTCAGGCAGTGTGTGATAAAGGACAAAACCCAGGATGGGGTGGAACAGGCCCCACCTGGTCTGAGTCCTTTCGGCTGCTGTTGAAGGCGTCAGGGACGGCCAGCTGCGGGTACAGGCCCCGGCCCAGCACCAGCTTCAGCAGGGCTAGCTGCTCCCGGCTCAGGTCCCGGGCTGAGCTGGCAGCGGCCTGCAACTGTGCCAGGTCATGCCGAAGCTTGAACTTCACATCCTGCAGGGACCACGGGGAGGCAGAATCTTAGGGGACCTTCCCTACTATCCGAGAGGCTCCTAGCATGATCCAAAGATGCCTGGGCCCTGCAGGTCCCTGGGGACAGGCGCCATCCATGGAAACCCAGCTCCTGAAAAGAGGACGGGGCCATGTCCCCTGAGACCCCCCCAGGAGAGCCCAAGGCCCACCTTGGTAAACCCTGCCCACCCACCCCCACAGCCCGTGCTGCCCACCTGGATGTCCACGCCATCGCCGGCTCCTGGGGGTGCTGGGCCGGCCCGGTCCTCGTCGCTGGAGCCGCCGTCCTGCTCCTCCTGCAGCCGCAGCACCTTGCGCCTGCGCCCCGCGCCCTCCTCATGCTGGCGTTTCAGCTGGTGCAGGGCCCGGCGCTCGCGGCGCTGCTGCAGCCGGCTGTAGCTGTCCCCTGCCTGCACGGCCTGAGCCCCAGCCAGCAGCCCGTGGTCCTCCAGCAGCTCCTACAGGCAGATGTACACGGGTGAGGGCCTTGGGACAGGCTCAGTGGGCTCTGGACAACATGGAAATGGGGACCCTCCTGGTACCAGGGCTGCAAGGGACCAAAGGGGCCTGAATGAGAACAGCCCCTCGCACGGTGCTGAGCACAGATAATTGCTCCAGGATGGAGAGCTGTTCTCGTGTCAGCGGAGGGGACACCAGGGCCTAGGGCAGGAGGAGGCATCCAGTGCCTTCTCCCACAGCTGGCTCCACGCTCCAGCGACTGACCCACCTGCCCCTCAGGTCCTGCCTTCCTGCACAGCCCTGCACTAGTGCTTCCCAGACTGGCCCTGGGGCACTGGGAACCTGGTAGGCATGCCAAGTCCTGGGCCTCATCCTAGAAAAACCCAAGTGGGAGGGGTGGGGCCTGGGCGGGACTGGGCATCTGAACACAACAGACCCTCTGGCTAACTGTGCCCCATGAAATCTCAGACCCCTGCCTCCCCCCCACACAGTTAACAGTCCTCCAGTGACCTGATTTGGTTGGCCCGCCTGTTTCCTGCTGAGCTATGACTGATGATGGAGGATTGGGGGTGGGGAGGGAGAGAGAGTTCCGTTAGACTGCCCACTCTGGCCCTCAGCTTGCCCATCTGTAACCAAAGGGAATGGGTCACACAGGGACTCCGATTCTATCCTCAATCCACAGGTAAAAGCATGGCAAAGGACCTGACAGCAGGTGTTTCTGCACCCAGATGGAGAATGGCCACGGAGCGTGCATGGCACGAGCAACAGAACTGCGTGGCAACAGGAAAAACCCAAATCGTTTTTTTTTTTTTTGTGAGACAGAGTTTTGCTGCTCTTGCCCAGGATGGAGTACAGTGGCATGATCTTGGCTCACTGCAACCTCCACCTCTCGGGTTCAAGTGATTCTCCTGCCTCAGCCTCCTGAGTAGCTGGGATTACAGGCATGTGCCTCCACGCCCGGCTAATTTTATATTTTTAGTAGAAATGGGGTTTCTCCATGTTGATCAGGCTGGTCTTGAACTACTGAACTCAGGTGAAACGCCTGCCTCGGCCTCCCAAAGTGCTGGGATTACAGGCGTGAGGCATCGCGCCTGGCCAGAGCCCAAATCTTTTAGAGTTAAAGGAAAAATCTCTGACCACCTGCTGGCCTGTAGCATCATCATCATCATCATCTTGCAAGCCCCTGTGGAGAACCACCTGCGTGCTAGGTCTGCACATATTAACTCATTTAATCCTCATGCGAAGCTGGGAGGCAGGTGCTTTTTTTTTTTTTTTTTTTTTTTCTGAGGTGGAGTCTGACTCTGTCATCAGGCTGAAGAGCAATGGCGAGATCTAGTCTCACTGCAACCTCCAACTCCCTGGTTCAAGCAATTCTCCTGCCTCAGCCTCACAAGTAGCTGGGACTACAGGTGCGCGCCACCATGCCAAGCTAATTTTTGTATTTTTAGTAGAGATGGGGTTTCACCATGTTGGTCGGGATGGTCTCAATCTCCTGACCTCATGATCGGCCCGCCTCAGCCTCCCAAAGTGCTGGGATTGCAGGTGTGAGCCACCGCACCTAGCTGGCAGGAGCTATTTTTATCCTCTTTTTTCAAGGGGAAGCTGAGCCCCAGAGACAAGCAGTAACCTGCTCAGAGCCGGGATTCACGGCTAGCCTGTCTGGCTCCAGATGCGCCAGCCCCCACCACAACTGTAGGCTGCCTCCAGCACCACACAGGTGCAGCCAGCCGGTCCAGAGGGCGAGCTCTTCCCGAGGATGCTGCATGTCCACTGTCTCTATCCACCCCTCCAGGAAGCCCTCCTGGATTTCTGCTCCCTTTGCCCTGCCCAGCTGCCCCAACACCTGGCCACTGGGTGGTGGGGGAGGTGGGTACAGGGTGGGACTCTGGTCTGACCGCTGTCCAGGAAGGGAGGGAGTGTTCTGGAGTGTGCTTGCACGCAGCTGCCTGGACAGGGCTGGCTTCCCCGCCTCCTGAGCCTCACCTTGAACTGGCGCCGAAGGTTGGCCATCTCGTACAGTCGGTGCTCCTCTATGCCCCGGCGGCGGCACCACTTGCGGGAGTTTCTGCTCCGTTCAGATTTTACCTGAACAAGTGGAGGAGCAGAAGTCAGAGTGTCAGGGCCCGGCCAGCCCAGGGAGGGAGAGGCTGACCCAACACCCAGAGCCCCAACACGGGCATCCCTCAGGGACACCTGCTCTCCTCCTTCCAGGTCTCACCCCAGTGCCCCCTCCTATAGGAAGCCCTCCCAGACTACCCACAAACTGGGTGAGACACCTTCTGGGCTCTCCCAGCTCCTTGGACTCCCCATTTCAGCCTTCTCTGATACCAGCCCTCTCTGGGTTGTCACTGTCACATCAGTGGTCTCCCTGCGCTGGGCTGTGAGCCCCGCGAGGGCAGGGCCAGGGTAGTTTTGGGATGGTTGGGTGCCATACTACAGTATGGGGCCAGGGTTAGAGCAGGGATTCAGGGCATATAGACTGGATATACAGAGGCCCCTGCAACGAGTCGACTTTCTCCAGATGGCACGGGTTTCATCAGTGCTCCAGAAACCCCAGGCTCCTCTCAGCCCTGGGCCTGGGCACGTGCTGTCCCGAGCCAACGGCATGGATAGTGGAGACGCGGCCCTCCCCAGGCAGGCCCTGTCTGGGTTCAGTGGTCCTCCCAGGGTGGGGTTGAGCGTGGGACATGAGGAGGAGCAGAGCTGCAGAAGGCCTTCACCCTGGGCAGGGTGACAAAGGGGCCCCACCGCCAGCCTCACCTGCACCCAGGCGTTGAAGACATTGAAGAGGGTGAAAGGGTCACCCTGGTCGCTCTCCAGTGGCCGCCTTGCTGCTGCACACTCCGGGCTGCTCTGGGCACTGCGGGTGAAGGGCGACTGGACGCTGAGCGCCGCTGCGATGGTGAGCACAGGTTCCACCAGGCTGAACATGGAGCCCAGGATCAGCATCTTCCCTGGAGTGGTGGACACGCGGCTGAGGCTTCTGGGGACCAGGACAGGCGCGGCCCTCACCCCTCACCCCTCGGGGCCCCAGCCCACCCTTCCGCCCACCTTCCTGCTCCCGCCTCCCTCCATCTTGCCCACCAAGGGCCTTGTGACCCAGATGGACAGATTGAAACCCACATGCTGCTTTCTGCTCACGTGGCTGTGGGCCTCAGTTTCCTCATCTGTACGTTGGAGATGCCCACAGTGCTGCCCGCCTCCTCAGACACACAGGAGATGCTGTCTAAGCGCTGGGTACTCCTGTCACAAGTTCCCCACTCTTCTATTTACAACCCTGCCTTGGTCTTTGCTCTGGGAGTTTTAGTGTTTTTTTTTTTTTCGGAGACAGACTCTGACTCTGTCACCAGGCTAGAGTGCAATGGCATGATCTCGGCTCACGGCAACCTCCACCTCCTGGGTTCAAGTGATTCTCCTGCCTCAGCCTCCCAAGTAGCTGTGACTACAGGCACGTGCTATCATGCCCAGCTAATTTTTGTATTATTGGTTTTTTTTTGAGACGAGTCTTGCTCTGTCTCCAGGCTGGAGTGCACTGACGCGATCTTGGCTCACTGCAACCTCTGCCTCCCAGGTTTAAGTGATTCTCCTGCCTCAGCCTCCTACAGGAGAAGTGCCTACAGACTACAGGCGTGTGCCACCACACCCAGCTAATTTTTTGTATTTAGTAGAAATGGGGTTTCACCATGTCAGCCAAGATGGTCTGGACCTCCTGACCTCGTGATCCACCCATCTTGGCTTCCCAAGGTGCTGGGATTACAGGCATGAGCCACCTCACCCAGCCTAATTTTTTTATTTTTCATAGAGATGGGGTTTCACCATGGTGACCAGGCAGGTCTCAATCTCTTGACCTCATGATCCACCTGCCTCAGCCTCCCAAAGTGCTGGGATTACAGGCGTGAGCCACCGCGCCCGGCCTCTGGTTCACCTCTGGAACCACCATGGTGGACCTTTCTCTCCGTGCTAGGCTGTGACCTATAAGCGAGTCCCTCTCACTCTGCCCTGGCACTGACTTGGGTGCCTGTCGCAGGATGATTCTTCTCCTGCCGCCTCTGTATAAGTCAAGGTGGAGGTGGAAGAGGAAGGGAGAATGGAGAAAGATGGGGCAGGGCTGGGACAGGCAGGGAAAGGGGAGGAGGGGCAGAGAGCAGGCTAGGTAGGCTACGGAGAGGAAAAGTGGCGGGAACAGTCTCCCAGGGTGGCCAAAGAGCTGGCAACTACCGCCTCCATCTGGGAGCACTCCACAGCAGGCTTCTAGACAGCCCTGGTTCTGGGCGCCCAAGCTGCCGCTGGACTTCCAGGGACTCCCTTCCCGCCTATCCTGTGGCCTGTGTCTCGTGTGTCTGCCTCATCCTCACTGTTTCCCTTGGCTGACTCTCCACAGTATCTGTCAGAAAGCTGGCCTCAAGCAGATCCCCTGAGGGCAGGAGTTCTAGACCAGTCTGGCTGCCATGGTGAAACCCCGACTCTACTAAAAATACAAAAATTGCCTGGTTTAGTGGCAGCCGCCTATAATCCCAGCTAGTTGGGAGGCTGCAGCAGGAGAATCGCTTGAACCTGGGAGGTGGAGCATGCGGTGAGCCAAGATCGTGCCACTGCACTCCAGCCTGGGTGACAAGAGTGAAACTCCATTTCAAAAACAACAAAAAACAAAGCTTGCTGGCCTCATGAAACAAAGGTGGCCGGAAAGCAGGGCTCCGGGCTGTACTGTGCAGGCCCCTCTCCTGTACCAGGACGCCCCAGCTCTGTCACTAGGGGCAAGTGGCACCACCTCTCTGCTCCCCCATCCATAAACTGGGGGACAACAGCATCGGCCTCTCAGGCTGCCAGGAGGATGGACTGTGTCTCATGCTGTGAAGCACTCAGAACTCCACCCGGCAGAGACACGCCCAGCACAGGGTCATCCAGGCCTTTCGATCAGCAGCTCCCCACATGTGACCCTAAGCAGCAGTTCTCTGTGCCTCGTTTTCACCCAGAGAAAGGGGGGGGTCACCTGCCCCCAGCCCGCAAGGAGATAATGTGTGTGAGGCACTTAGCATCACCGCCAATCAAAGCCAGGCTTGTGCCATGCCCTCAGGAGCCTCCTGGGCCCAGCCTCAGTTTTCCCATCTGCACACTAGGGTGATCCGAGGCCCTGCCCTCAGCAGGTAAGGATGAAATAATGAAAAATCCACAGAGCTTTCATTGGCCCACAGCAAGTGCTCACGCTTCTCAGCTCAGATTCTCCCTACTATAGCCCTGTTTCCTTCCAAAATAAAAATGAGGCCGGGCACGGTGGCCCACGTCTGTCATCTCGGCACTTAGGGAGGCTGAGGCAGGGGGATCATGTGAGGTCAGGACTTCAAGACCAGCCTGGCCAACGTGACAAAACCCTGTCTCTACCAAAAAAAACAAATATTGGTCGGGCACAGTGGCTCATGCCTGAAATCCCAACACTTTGGGAGGCTGGTAGGCAGATCACTTGAGGTCAAGAGTTCGAGACCGACCAGCCTGGCCAACCTGATGAAACCCTGTCCCTACTAAGAATACAAAAATTAGCCAGGTATGGTAGCGTGTGCCTGTAATCCCAGCTACTCGGGAGGCTGAGGCAGGAAATCGCTTGAACCCAGGAGGTGGCAGTGAGCAGAGATCATGCCACTGTGCTCCAGCCGGGGAGACAGAGAAAACTCTGTATTGAAACAGAACAAAAATTAGCTGGGTATGGTGACGCGCGCCTCTAGTCCCAGCTACTCGAGAGGCTGAGGCAGGAGAACTGCTTGAACCCGGGAGGCGGAGGATGCAGTGAGCTGAGATCACGACACTGCACTCGGAGCAAGACTCCGTCTCAAAAAGAAATAATGAATGAATGATGGGACTGAGGGTCAACATCTCCCGCCTTCTCCCTCTCACTCTATTCCAGCCACAGCAGCCTCCCCGCCGCTCCCATCAGCAGGCACTGGCTGTTCCCGCTGCCTCAATGTCCTCGTGCTCTATCTGTACTGTCCAATATGGCCGCCTCTGGCCTCACGTGGCTACTAAACACCTGAACATGGCTGGTCCAAACCAAGATTTCCAAGACTGTGTGTGGTAAAAAAAATAATATAAAATCCTGCAAAAATGTTTGCATTCATTATGTTGAAATTAGGATGTTTTAGGCGTATTAGGTTAAATCAGCTACGTTAGTGAAATTAATCTCATCTGGGTTTTTTGTTGTTTTTTTTTTGACATGGAGTCTTGCTCTGTTGCCCAGGCTGGAGTGCAAGGGCGCAATCTTGGCTCACTGCAACCTCCACCTCCCAGGTTCAACACCTCAGCCTCTCAAGCGGCTGGGATTACAGGTGCGTGCTACCACACCTGACTAATTTTTGTTTTTTGTAGAGACAGCATTTCACTATGTTGCTCAGGCTGGTCTCGAACTCCTGACTTCATGATCCAACTGCCTCAGTCTCCCAAATTGCTGGGATTACAGTGCCCAGTGGATTTTTGCTTTTTTAAATGTAGCTACTGGAAAGCTCTAAATTACATACATGGCTCACATTCTATTTTCATATTTCTTTTTTTTCTTTTGTAGAAACCAGGCTTTTGCCATGTTGCCCAGGCTGTTCTCAAACTCCTGGGCTTTAGCAATCCACCTGCCTCACCCTCTCAAAGTGCTCAGCCTCTCAAAGTGCTGGGATTATAAGCATGGACTACTATGCCAGCCATATTTCTCTACTTCCGCTGGCAAGCATGTTCTACTGTTTACATGGCCCCTACCCCTCATCTCCATTTCTCCGCACAGATGTTACCTCCCCCGTGGGGTCCGCCTTGAGGCCTGTATTATAAACTGTAACTCCCCAGTTCCCTACCCGACATCCAGCACTCCCATTCCCCGCCGCACTGTTTCTTCTCTCCAGAACACTAAGCACCATCTGATCTACTCTGCCTTTTCCTTTTTTGTTCTAATTTATTGCTGGTCTTCACCAAACTGTCAGCTCCCTGAGGCCAGAGATTTGTGTCCATCCTGTCCACTGCTATATGCCCAGCACCTAGAACAGTGCCTGGCCCAGAGCATTAGTGAACAAAGTGACTGGACCCAGGGAACAGACAGACTTGCTCCCATGTTACTCAGAGAGTGAGCTGTGCCCATACCCACTCTGGGTGCCCTGTGTGATCACGAAGCAGGTGGGTACTCACCAATCACGACGTCCACAGGCAGCTGGGCCAGCAGGGACCCGATGGGCGTGAGGGCCTCTGAGCTGTCCAGGGCTCCCTGGTCCCGGAGGTAGAGGATAGCGGTTTCCAGGCTGGCTGGTGGTGGGGGCTCAATGAAGGGGAAGGTTCGGGGGTCCCCCATGCTCATGCTCTTCATCTGGAATAAGAAGCAAAACCCCCAAGATTGGGAAGCACATGAGCTACTGTGCAGCACAGGGGGGCTCAGGGATCACAAACTCACGACATTTTAAAATCCCCACGGTTGGCTGGGCGAGGTGGCTCACGCCTGTAATCCCAGCACTTTGGGAGGCCGAGGCAGGTGAATCACAAGGTCAGCAGATCAAGAGCAGCCTGGTCAACATGGTGGAACCCTGTCTCTACTAAAAGTACAAAAATTAGATGGCCATGGTGGCACGTGCCTGTAATCCCAGCTGCTCGAGAAGCTCAGGCAGGAGAATTGCTTGAACCTGAGAGGTGGAGGCTGCAGTGAGCTGAGATCATGCCACTGCACTCCAGCCTGGGCAGCAAGAGTGAAACTCCATCTCAAAAAAAAAAAAAAAAAATTTCCTAGTGTCAGCAGGGCATGGTGGCTCACACCTATAATCCCAGCACTTTGGCAGGCCGAGGCAGGTGGATCACTTGAGGTCAGAAGTTCAAGACCAGCCAGGCCAACATGGTGAAACCCTGTCTCTACTAAAAATACAAAAATTAGCCGGGTGTGGTGGCACACACCTGTAATCTCAACTATTTGGGAGGACGAGTCAGAAGAACTGCTTGAACCCAGAGGGCAGAGGCTGCAGTGAGCCGAGATCGCACCACTGCACACCAGCCTGGGTGACAGAGTGAGTTTCCATCTCAAAAATAAAATTCCCAATGTCAAGATGCACTGTACAGAGGCAGGCAAGGAGGACTGCTGTCTCTGTGTCTGTCTGCCTAGCACATCTTCCCCCAGACACTGAACATGGAGGAAGGTCACATGACCTGAGCTGGACCAATCAGAATCCACCCCTAAGACATCAAACGCTGGAGCCAGGAAAAGCACTCTCAGTATCCTCTCTGGCTGTGGCCGGGATGGAAGCCTATCTTATTAACCCAGAACTGCTGTGGCCTTTGACTCTGTCCATTACTTGGAAATCGGCCCATCTACAGCATATGGAGAAATCCCTAGATTGTTCCTTGGTCAGACATGCCACCTAACAAATGCACAAAATGGAAAAATCCCCCTTTCTACCTACAATATTTCAATTGTGTTTCTCTCACTTGCAACCAAAAGAACCCCAATTAATGGAGAGGCCCAGGCAGCCAGCAGGTGCTGGGAGAATAAAGTGAAAGCATACATCCACCCCAGGGCCCAGCATGGCATATGTAAGCAAACAGCACTTCTCTGGTGAGTGGAAGGAGAGGGTGGCAAGGTGGCTCATGTGAAGGCTAGAGAGTGAGAAGGAAGCTGAGACAGCCTGTCCTTGGCCTTGATCCAAAGGCATTAGAAGTTCTGACATCTACCTGGCAAGCAGCTACTGCTCCTTCCTCCCTGCTGACCGAGCCTCGATCTGTCTAGGAGTTCGCCCAATACTCATTTACAAACCTTTATAGGCTGGGGTGCAGTGGCTCACGCCTGTAATCCCAGCACTTTGGGAGGCTGAGGCAGGCAGATCACCTGAAGTCAGGAGTTCGAGACCAGCCTGGCCAACATGGTGCAACCCTGTCTATACTAAAAATACAAAAATTAGCCGGGCCTCGGGGCCCAGCTATTCAGGAGGCTGAGGCAGGAGAATCACTTGAGCCCAGGAGGCAGAGGTTGTAGTGAATCAAGATCATGTCACTGCCCTCTAGCCTGGGCAACAGCAAGACTCTGTCCCAAGACAAAAATAAAAAATAAAACCTTTACATGAGAAGCTCTAATTTAAAGAGGCAGAGGGCAGGGCATGGGTTTTTGGAAGTCCTCCAGGTATTTCTAGTATGCGGCTGGGGCCGAGACACTGCTCTGATCAACTCAGACAATGCCACATCCTTGGATAATTGCCGGTTATAGGATGGACACATGACCTAGTTCTGCTGACAAGAGAGGATGAGAGACCGGCCAGAGGCCTCTAGAAAATGTTCCCATGGCCGGCTGGATGAGGTGGCTCACACCTGTAATCCCAGCACTATGGGAGTCCGAGGAAGGCGGATCACAAGGTCAGGAGTTCGAGACCATCCTGGCCAATATGGTGAAACCCCATCTCTATTAAAAATACAAAAATTAGCTGGGTATGGTGGCAGGTGCCTGTAATCCCAGCTACTCGGGAGGCTGAGACGGGATAATCGATTGAACCCAGGAGGCAGAGGGTGCAGTGAGCCGAGATTGCACTACTGCACTCCAGCCTGGGCGGCAGAGCAAGACTCCCATCTCAAAAAAAAAAAAAAAGGAAAAAAAAAGAAAAAAGAAAATATTCCCACGGCCTTAAAAATTAGACCTATAGAGAAGGGCAGTTCCTTGCTTCTGCCTCCGGATAGTAAAGGAGAAGGAGGTGATGCCCACAGTGACTGGAGCCTGTGACGCTCATGAAGCTGGCTCTGACACCTAGTGGCCTCAGATGGAGCCCTGACTCATACTTGCCAGCTGTGTGACCTGGGGCAAATTATTTTCTCTCTGTGCATCCTTCTCCTGGTCTAAAAATTAGGTTAAGATTATGTACCCCATGGATTTTTGTGTGTGTGAGACAGGGTCTTCTCTATCACCCAGGCTGGAGTGCAATGGTACAATCAAAGCTCACTGTAGCCTCGACTTCCTGGGCTCAAGCGATCCTCCTGCCTCAGCCTCCTGCATGGGACCACAAGTGTGTGCCACCACACCTGGCTAATTTTTAAATTTTTGTAGTCAGGGCCTCGCCACACTGCCCAGGCTGGCCTCAACCTCCTGGCCTCAAGCAATCCTCCCGCCTCAGCCTCCCAAAGTGCGGGGATGATAAGCGTGAGCCGCCCACTGTGCCTGGCAGCACCGGCTTGTTTAAAAAGATGAATTGAACAGAATAGAAAATAGTGTACGCCTCCTGCCAGAAGGGCACTGCTTTGTGCTACACCCACACAGAGTCTATGGCAGACACCATCAACTGCTCCCCACTTTCCTTTTTCTCTCGTTCCCGAGCACAAGGACTACACTTCCCAGCCTTCCTCACAGTTGGGCGTGGCCATGGGACTGAGAACTGACCAGGAGCAGTGAGAGCAAGGCAAGTATGCCCCCTGCAGGCCCATCCTACAAACATTTCTGTACTCACTTCCCATGCTCTTGACCCTTTGGGTGGCTGGATGGAGATGCAGGAAAAGCCCCCGGGGGCAGGGGTGATGGAGCCACAAGAGGGAAGGAGCCTGGGTCCCCGAATAAAAAAAACTGCCTGCCAACCTGTAAACTACCATTCTGCTGTTGGCCATTTCAAGACCATGTGTATCTGTCTTGGCAGTCTAACCTATGCTAAATTAACAAATGAGATACAAATAGTGACATAAAACATATTGAGAAACCCTGGTTTTAAAAGCTCTTTCCTGCTGGGTTTCCTGTTACAGTTGAAAGCATTCTGATTGAGTCACTGGTTCTTCCTGTGGAATCTGTTTTGTTTTACTTTGAGATGGAGTCTCATTCTATTGCCCAGGCTGGAGTGCCGGGGCAATAGAGGACTTAAAAAACCCATGCCCTTGGCTGGGCACGGTGGCTCTGGCCTGTAATCCCAGCACTTTGGGAGGCCAAGATGACCTGAGGTCAGGAGTTCGAGACCAGCCTGGCCAACATGGTGACACCCCATTTCTATAACAAAAAAAAAAAAACCATGCCCTGCCCTCTGCCTCTTTAAATTAGAGCTTCTAATATAAAGGTTTTATTTTTATTTTTTATTTTTATCTTGGGACAGAGTCTTGCTCTGTCGCCCAGGCTGGAGGGCAATGGCATGATCTTGGTTCACTGTAACCTCCACCTCCCGGGTTCAAGCGATTCTCCTGCCTCAGCCTTCCAAGTAGCTGGGATCACAGGTGCCCGCCACCACACCTGGCTAATTTTTTGTGTATTTTTAGTAGAAACTGGTTTCACCATATTTGTCAAGCTGTTCTCAAACTCATGACCTCAAATGATTCGCCTGCCTTGGCCTCCTAAAAATGCTGGGACCACAGGTGTGAGCCACCTCACCCAGCTGACATTGTGGATTTAAGAACAATTCTCCCTTCAACATGGGTTTGGATTTGGAAGGGATGAGTTCCCCTCAGTGGCTTGACTAGCCCTATCCTTTCTGGTCCTGAAACCTAGAATTGGTCCTATGTAAATGCCTCTTGGCTGCCCCGGCACTGTGGCTCATGCCTATAATCCCAGTACTTTGGAAGGCCAAGATGGGAAGATCGCTTGGGCTCAGGAGTTTGAAACCAGCCTGGGCAATATAGCAAAACCTAATCTCTACTAAAAATAAAAAACAGCCAGGTGTGGTGGTGTGAACCTGTGGTCCCAGCTACTTGGGAGGTGGAGGTGGGAGGGTCATGTGAGCCTGTAAGATGGAGGCTGCACTGAACTGTGATCACAGCACTGCACTCCAGCCTGGGTGACAAAGTGAGATCCTATCTCAACATAAAATAAAACAGGCCTCCTGGGTTCCTCCCTGTGCCAACGGTCAGGATATAGTCCCCTTTCTGCCTGTGCCTCACCTGCAGCACCAGTGAGTCCAGGGCCACCCTCCGAATTTCCGGGACAGGATAGGGGGCGAAGGCATCATAGTCCGATTCGGCATAGAGGCGGAAGCAGACTCCGGGGCCCGTGCGGCCCGCCCGGCCTTTCCGCTGCTCTGCGCTGGCCTGGCTGATCCAGAACTCCTGCAGCCGCTGCAGATGGGCCTGCGGGTCGTAGCTCATCTCCTTCACCTTCCCTGGGTGAGAGCAATGAGGGACAGGAGTCTGCATGCGGCCAGCCATGCTCCAGCTGCGCGCTGACACCCTCACTCCCTCCTTTGTCTTCTGTTAATGCTAACCAGCGGTTATTCTGGGCCCAACTGTGACATTCCGTCCATTTATTCTTTCGTTTCCTTACTCACACCTTTTTTTTTGAGACAGGGTCTCACTGTCTCCCAGACTCAATCACATCTTACTGCAGCCTCAACCTCCCAGGTTCAAGCGATCCTCCCAGCTTAGCCTCCCGAGTAGCTGGGAGTAAAGGTGCATGCCACCACACCTGGCTAATTTTCTGTAGAGACGGGGCTTCACAAACTGATCTCAAACTCCTGAGCTCAAGCAATCTGCCTGCCCCGGTCTCCCAAAGAGCTGGGATTACTGGCCACAGCACCTGGCCTCTCACTCACACGTCTTGTCTTTTCATTTATTTTCCCAAGTCTTTGCTTCTTCAGAGGTTCACTTATCCAGTAAACACTTATTAAGCACCTACTAGTCACCAGGTGCTGCACTAGGCACTAGGGAACAGCAATGAGCTGAACAAAGGCCCTAGTCTCACAGGACTAAACAGAGCACCTTATTTCCTCCAGTGTCACACCAACCTTTTTTCACATTTTCTTTTTCTTTTTTTTTTTTTTCCGAGACAGAGTCTTGCTCTGTCACCAGGCGCCAGGCTGGAGTACAGTGGCGCGATCTTGGCTCAATGCAACTTCCAAGTTCAAGCAATTCTCCTGCCTCAGCCTTCTGAGTAGCTGGAACTACAGGCGTGCACCACCATGCCCAGCTAATTTTTGTATTTTAGTAGAGATGGGGTTTCACCACGTTGGCCAGGATGGTCTCGATCTCTTGACCTTGTGATCCGCCCACCTTGGCCTGCCAAAGTGCTGGGATTACAGGCATGAGCCACCACACCCAGCTACATTTTCTTTTTTTTTGAGATGGAGTTTTCACTCTTGTTGCCCAGGTTGGAGTGGCAACGGCATGATCTCAGCTCACTCCACATCCCAGGTTCAAGCGATTCTCCAGCCACAGCCTCCCGAGTAGCTGGGATTGAGATTACAGGAACCATGCCCAGCTCAGTTTTGTATTTTTAGTAGAGATGAGGTTTCACTGTGTTGGCCAGGCTAGTCTTTAACTCCTGACTTCAGTGATTCCAAAGTACTGGGATTGCAGGCATGAGCCACCGTGCCCGACCTATTTTTTTAATTTTTTTTGAAACAGGGGCTCACTCTGTTGCCCAGGCTTGAGTACAGTGGCACAATCACAGCTCACTGCAGTCTCAACTTCCTGGGCTTAGGTGATTCTCCCACTTCAGCCTTCTGAGCAGCTGAGACTACAAGAATGCACCACCACGCTTGGCTAATTTTTATATTTTTAATAGAGATGGAGTTTCGCCATGTTGCCCAGGCTGGTCTCGAACCCTTGACCTCAAGTGATCCACCCACCTTGGCCTCCCAAAGAGCTGGGTTACAGGCATGAGCCACTGCAGCTGGCCTAAAATGTCTTAATAGCACATGAAACTATGAACCGTTTTACTATCAATGGCATCCCAGAGTTGACACGACCAGGTAGCTGCTAACACTGAGTGATGGCTCTGTGCCAGGCACTGTCTAAGACACCTAAGTGTGTTGAGTGATTTAACCCTCATAACCTGAGGGAGGGCCTGTCACTGCCATTTTACAGATGAGCAAACCGATGCAGGAAGTGTGAGTCACACGAGCCCAGCCACAGAGCGGTCGCTGAGCCTGGCCAGGCAGGCTCCAGCATCTCCAAACACTATCCTATGCTCACTTCCCAGTGAACCTTCCAGTCAGGAAGACAGAAAGTGAGCAAACAGAGCAGCACCTACAAAACAGAATGCCAGGCTGGGCACGGGGGCTCACAGCTGTGATCCCAGCACTTTGGGAGGCTGAGGCAGGGGGATCACTTAAGGTCAGGAGTTCAAGGCCAGCTGGCCAAAATAACAAAACCCCATCTCTACTAAAAATACAAAAACTAGCCAGGCGTGGTGGTGCACATCTGTAATCCAAGCTACACGGGAGGCTGAGGCAGGAGAATCACATGAACCCGGGAGGTGGAGGTTGCAGGGGGCTGAGATGGCACCACTACACTCCAGCCTGGCTGACAGAACCAGACTCTGTCTCAAAAAAAATAGAATATCAGTCCGCCTCATATGAGAAGCAACAGTGGATGGAGGAGGAGGAGGGGGTATCTCTTAAGAGTGTGGACAGGGTGGGCCTCTCTGATGGGAGACATTTATGCGGGCCCTGAAATGAGGTGAGGGCCCCAGCTGTGTGGACATCTGGAGAAAGACGGCTCCCAGCAGAGGACAGTACATGCAAAGGCCCCAGGCAGAAGCAGGCTTGGGAGGTGTGAAAAAGAAGATGCTGCCACTGCTGCCTGGCCCCACACGCCATCTTCCAGCACCCCAATTCCTGAAATCCAAACCTGAAATGCTCCAAAACCTGAAATCTTTTCAGCGCTAACGTGACCTTCCAATGAAATGCTCACTGGAGGATTTTAGGTTTTTGGATTTGACATGCTCAGATAAAAAGATAGATACAAATACTCCAAATTCCAAAAAATCCAAAATTCCAGATGCTTCTGGTCCCAAGCATTTTGGGTATGGGGAAGTCAACTGGACATCCTACTTCAAGCCACATTCACACACCTCCGGACCCCACGTTCCTCTCTAAGTCCTGGGGGTGGTGGGTAGGGGCTTGTGCTGGTCCTTACCAGAATCTACTACAAAGCGGATCCCGTCAATGGTGACTGAGGTCTCAGCAATGTTGGTGGAGAGGATGCATTTTCGGACTCCAGGGGGTGCCACATCAAACACCTGGGGAAAAGGGAGGAGGCAGTGTCCAGGACTAACTCAGCTCTGACTGACCTGTGTGTCCAGTTTCCCGCCCATCCACATGTCGGCAGCTTCCCTGGAACCCTTTCCTCCTCCAGAGAACTCCCTCTTGGATACGGCTCACCATCCACCCCATCACAATGGGCCATCCTGGGCCCTCCCCCAGCCTCAGACAGTCTTGCTCTGTCACCTAGGCTGGACTATAGTGGCACGATCTTGGCTCACTGCAACCTCCAGCTCCCAGGTTCAAGCAATTCTTCTCCTCAGCCTCCAAAGCAGCTGGGATTACAGGTGCCTGTCACCATGCCCAGCTAATTTTTGTATTTTTAATAGAGACAGGGTTTCACCATATTGGCCAGGCTGGTCTTGAACTCCTGACCTCAGGTGATCCACCCTCCTTTGGCCTCCCAAAGTGCTGGGATTATAGGTGTGAGCCACCATTCCCGGCCCTTTACCTGAATATCTTGAACTTTTTTTTTTTTGAGACAGGGTCTCAGTCTGTCACCTAGGTTGGAGTGCAGTGGTGTGATCACAGCTCACTGTAGCCTTGACCTCCAGAGTTCTTGTGATCCTCCTGCATCAGCACCTCAAGTAGCTGGGATTACAGGCATGAGCCACCACACCAGGCCACCTTGAACATTTCTTGAAGTCCTTCCCTCCTCCCATGGCCCAGCCCCCGCCCTAGTCCAGGCCTGTCCTCGCCCACTCCGATCCTGCTCCGCTTCCCCTCATATCTCTGGCCTCTAGACTCACCTGGCAGCCAGAGGGATCTGCTGAAGCACAAACCGGCACTCCCCAGGCTAAGGGGCCGAGTGGGAAGATCACTTGAGCTCAGGAGTTTGAAACTAGCCTCGGCAACATAGTGAGAACTGTTTGCTACTAAAATTTAAAAAAAAAATTAACGAAAGCCAAGTGCAGTGGCTCACACCTGTAATCCCAGCACTTTAGGAGGCCGAGGTGAGATCGCTTGAAGTCAGGAGTTTGAGACCAGCCTGTGCAACATGGCGAAACCCCGTCTCTACTGAACATATAAAGGATTAGCCAGACGTGGGGGTGGGTGCCTGCAGTCCCAGCTACTTGGGAAGCTGAGGCAGTAGAATCACTTGAACCCAGGAGGTAGAGGTTGCAGTGCGCCGTGATCATGCCACCACACTCAAATCTGGGCGGCAGACTGAGACTTCGTCTCAAAAAAAAAAAAATTAACAGAGTGTAGTGACGTACACTTACAGTTGCTACTTGGAGGACTAAGGAGAGAGGATCGTTTGAGCCCAAGTCAAGGCTGCAGAGAGCTCTGATCATGCCACTGCACTCCAGCCTGGACAACAGAACAAGACACAGCCTCACTGCTCAGTTTCTGGCTGTTTCCATGCTGCAACAGTGGGGCGGAGCAGCTGTGACAGACAGAGCCCATGCCCACAGGGCTGACCAACTCTACTCTGACCCTTTACGGAAAGTTTGCTGACCTCTGGTTTACAGCATGGGCTCCCAGGCCAAACTACCTGGGTTTGCAGCCTGGCTCTGCCACTGGGTGTCTGTGACTATGCCCAAGTGCAGCCTCCCCCAGACCTGCATTTGTGGAGTGATGCGAGTGCTGTGTGCAGCTGCCCCAATTCATGCAGACCCCCGCCCTCCCACTCAGGCTTCCTGCGATACCTTGTCCTGGGCGGCCACAGACAGGGCACTGTGCAGCGGCAGCACCACCCAGCGCTGGGTGTGGCTGGCATAGGTCTGGGCAGCTTCCAGTACAGTGCTGATCTCCGCCATGCCGCTGAGGAAGACAAGGAGGTCACCCCGCTCCTCAGGCGGGTACTTGTGGTCAATGGACTCCAGCACCCTCAGGAAAGGCCGCGGGTCCAGCTTCTCCGACTTGGATGTGGTTGGCTCCGCCTCCTGCGGCTGGTACACAACCTGAGAGGAGACAGCCCCAAGTAGAAGCACACCCTGTCCCTCCAGCTCAGAGCAATGGGCGGGGGAGGCTACGGGCTGACAGGGGAGACTGGAGGCTGACAGAGAAGATACAGGACGGCTGGTCAGGGCTGGTGGGCAACGCTGTTCCATGTGGTCATTCAGGGATCCAGGCTCCTCCTTTCTCATTACTCTACCATGTCACTGGGCAGGATTTCTCAAAGTCAGCAAGACCAACATTTCACTCTGGTTAATTCCTTGTTGTGGGGCTGTCCTGTGCACTGTAGAATATGTAGCAGCATCCCTGGCCCCTACCCACCAGATGCTAGTAGTCTTCGCGCTGGTTGTGACTATTAAAAATGTCTCCAGATATTGCCACATGTTCCCTGGGGGGCAAAACCACCCCTAATTGAGAAACAGTCAGGTGGCAAACAGCACACTCCAGCTAGGGAATTTTTAAAGGATGTCGTACAAAGACAAAGTAACAAGACAACTGTAAGGCTTGTGGGTGCTGGTAATGTTTGACTTCTCTAAATCTGCGTGCTAGCTACATAGGTATATTTACCTGGTGAAAACTCACTGAGCTGTGTACTTACAATGCACGCATGCTCTTGTGTTTGGAGTAACTTCAACGAGAAAAAAATTCCAGGTGACAGAACCAGGATTAGAACCCTAGAAATCGAGTTGGTTGGCTGATCATGAGAAGACCCTGAGCCTGAGCCAGGCTGACTGACTGATTTCCAGGCATGGCTGGCTCACACCTGTCATCTTAGCTCTCTGGGAGTCCACAGTGACAGGATCGCTTGACCAGAGAGAAAACACAGCAAGACCTCGTCTCTTAAAAAAAAAAAAAACTACTGCATGCTGTGGCTCACACCTGTAATCCCAGCTCTTAGGGAGGCAGAGGCAGAAGAATAGCTTGAGCCCAGGAGTTCGAGACCTGCCTGGGCAATACAGCAAGATCCAGTTCTCTAAAAAAAAAAAAAAAAACTTGCCCTGGACCCTACAGCCACCAGGATGTTGACGCCTAGAAAGAACCAGATTGCCATTTATGAGCTCCTTTTTAAGGAGAGAGTCATGGTGGCCAAGACGGACGTCCACGTGCCTAAGCACCCACAGCTGGCAGATAAGAACGTGCCGCACCTTCATGTCATGAAGGCCATGCAGTCTCTCAAGTCCCGAGGCCACGTGAAGGCACAGTTGGCTTGAAGACAGTTCTACTGGTACCTTACCAGTGATGACCTTCATCTGCCCCTGGAGACTGTGCCTGCCACCCTACGCCACAGCCGTCCAAAAACTGGCAGGCCTCAGCCTAAAGTTCTGGAGGGGGGTGAGTGACCTGCAAGACTTACAAGAGGGAAAGCCGACAGAGAGACCTGCAGACGGAGTGCTGGGCCCCCCGTGCCGACAAGAAAGCCGAGACTGGGGCTGGGTCAGCAACCCAATTCCAGTTTAGAGGCAGAGTTGGTCCTGGACGTGGTCAGCCACCTCAGTAAAACTGGAGAGGATTATTTTGCACTGAATAAACTTGTAGCCAAAAAAACTGGAAAAAAAAAAACAACCTAGAAAACAGAAGGATCCTCATTCTTTCCCTTTTTTTTTTCTTTAAGACAGGGTCTCACTCTATCACCCAGGCTGGAGGGCAGGGGTACGATCTCAGCTCACTGCAGCCTCTGCCTCCCAGGTTCAAGCAATTCTCTCACCTTAGCCTCTGAGTAGCTGGGATTACAGAGGCACGCCACCACTCGAGCTAATTTTTGCATTTTTAGTAGAGACGCAGTTTCACCATGTTGGCCAGGCTGGTCTCAAACTCCTAACCTCAGGTGATCCACCTGCCTCAGCCTCCTAAAGTGCCGGGATTACAGGCATGAGCCACTGCACCTGGCTAATTCTTTTTTTTTTTGAGATGGAGTCTCACTCTGTTGTCAGGCTGGCATGCAGTGCTGCAATCTCGGCTCGCTGCAACCTCCGTCTCCCGGGTTCAAGCGATTCTCCTGCCTCAGCCTCCCTAGTAGCTGGGACTACAGACACGCGCCACCACACTCAGCTAATTTTTGTATTTTTAGGAGAGACGGGGTTTCACCATGTTGGCCAGACTAGTCTCTAACTCCTGACCATGTGATCTTCCTGCCTCAGCCTCCCAAAATGCTGAGATTACAGGCGTGAGCCACCTTGCACAGCCCCTTTTTTTTTTTTTGGAGATAAAGTCTCACACTGTCGTCCAGGCTGGAGTGCAGTGGTGTGATCTCGACTCACTGCAATCTCCACCTCCTGGGTTCAAGCAATCTCCTGCCTCAGCCTCCTGAGTAGCTGGGACTACAGGCATGCACCACCATGCCTAGCTTTTGTTTTTTTGTATTTTTAGTAGAGATAGGGTTTCACCATGTTGGCCAGGATGGTCTCGATCTCCTGACCTTGTGATCCACCTGCCTCAGCCTCCCAAAGGGCTAGGATTATATGTGTGAGCCACCGTGCCCAGCCCATTCTTTCTTTCTTTCTTTTTTTTTAATGGCTGCTTTGGAGGCAAATTGATAGGCATTTGGAACCAGAAATCACAAGGGACAATCAAGTTCTTCCTGCAAGTCTCGACTGTCAAGACAAGGACAACTCACGAGGACTGCGTTTCTCAATCTGGAGACATGTTTAATAGTCACAATTGGAGGAGAAGACTACTACCAGCGATGCTGCAAAATACCCTGTGATACACCAGGACAGCCCCCACAATGAGGAATTATCCAGACTGAAATGTCAATCTTGCTGACTGAGAAATCCTACCCAATGAGATGGCAGAGTAATAAAAGAGGAGGAGCCTGGATCCCTGAATGACCACACGGAACAGCACTGCCCACCAGCCTGGACCAAGCTGCATTATATAAGAGAAATAAACTCTCTTATTGAGTCTTTACATTTTTGGGTCTTCTTGTAGCAGCTTTTACTCTAACAAGCACTTAGCACTCTAACCAGCTCATTATGAATGCTCGGAAAATAGTGGCTTTTTTTTTTTGAGATGGAGTCTCACTCTGTCACCAGGATGGAGTGCAATGGCCTAATCTCAGCTCACTGCAACCTCTGCCTCCTGGGTTCAAGTGATTCTCCTGCCTCAGCCTTCCAAATAGCTGGGACTACAGGTGTACACAACCACACCCAGCTAATTTTTGTATTTTTAGTAGAGACAGGGTTTCACCATGTTGGCCAGGCTGGTCTTGAACTCCTGACCTTGTGATCCACCCACCTTGGCCTCCCAAAGTCCTGGGATTACAGGTGTGAGCCACTGCACCCAGCCTCAAAACTGGTAGCTTTTAAAAAAAAAAAGAGACTATCTTTAAATAAACAGATGGGAGACACAGCGGCGGAGAAGAGGTGTGTCCAAGTTTGGACAGAGACCCGGTGGGAGGTCTGGGCGTGTGGGAGAAGGGGGAGGTGCTCACCGTGATGGGGAACAGCCTCCCGGGCACCTGTACCACCGGGGCATTGCCAAAATAGCTGGAGAAGAGCGAGATGTTGATGGTGGCCGACATGAGGATGACCTTGAGGTCAGGCCGCTTGGGCAGCAGGCGCCGGAGGACGCCCAGGAGGAAGTCATTGTGGAGGTGCCGCTCGTGGACTTCATCCACGATCAGGACCTCGTACTGGGGCAGGCTGGGCTCCCGCTGGATTTGTCGCAGGAGCAGCCCCACCGTCAGGAACACAATCTTGGTGGCCGCAGAACGCGTGCTCTCAAAGCGGATCTGGTAGCCGACCTGGGGTGGGAGAGAGAATGGTGTGGTCAGGAGAGGACCCTGAACCGGGGTACCAGCCCCCGGCCCTGCCCAAATTCAAAATCTAAGCAAATGCCATGCCTACCTATCAGACTCTGGAGCCTAACAGCTTGGGTTTGAATCCCACCTCTGCCACTTAGTGCCATCACCTTGGGCAGGCAACGCCATCCCTTAATTTGTTTTCCTCCTAGATGCTGTGAGAATTCCATATGACAATGCACATAAAGCGGCTAGCACCATGCCCTGTGTATAGAGAATATCAACTATAATAGTAATCACCTTTCTTTGAGTCCCTACTATGTGCCAGGACATTACATGCCACTCCAAGTGCTTTATTTATTTAGTTAGTTAGTTATTTTTTGAGACAGAATCTCGCTCTGTCACCCAGGCTGGAGTGGAGTGGTACGATCTTGGCTCACTGCGACCTCCGCCCCTCCCCTCCACCTGGTTCAAGCAGTTCTCCTGCTTCAGCCTCCCAAGTAGTTGGGATTACAGGTGTGCACCATCACGCCCAGCTAATTTTTTTATTTTTAGTGGAGATGGGGTTTCAACATTTTGGCCAGGCTGGTCTTGAACTCTTGACCTTGTAATCCACCTGTCTCAGCCTCCTAAAGTGCTGGGATTGTAGGCATGAGCCACCTCGCCCAGCCTCTTAAGTGCTTTATGTATCTCAACCCACTTCATATTCATGACCACCATGAGACAGAAGGATTATTATTAGCCTTCCAAAATGGCATTTGCATCATGGTGACTGCCAAGAATTACCCTCACAGCCGGGCACAGTGGCTCACATCTGTAATCCCAGCACTTGGGGAGGCCAAGGTGGGTGGATCACCTGAGGACAGGAGTTTGAGACCAGCCTGACCAACATAGTGAAACCTTGTCTCTACTAAAAATACAAAAATTAGCTGGGCATGGTGGCAGGCGCCTGTAATCTCAGCTACTCAGGAGGCTGAGGCAGAAGAATTGCTGGAACCCAGGTGGTGGAGGTGAGCCAAGGTTGCACCACTGCACTCCAGCCTGGGGACAGACTCCATCACAAAAAGGAAAAAAAAAAGACTGTTGAGTCTTTAGGACATTTCCCACTGTTTTGCTGTTAAAGAGCTACGCTGGGAGTGCCAGCTCCTTTGTCATACAGACCACAGACAGGCCAATCTGTGGATAAAGTTCTAGAAGCATCATCGCTGGGTCCAACGGTAAACATTTCATTTTTACTGATACTGCCACGCAACCTCTTCCCCCAGGGCGACCCTGGAACAATCAGAAAGCTGGTATGTCCCACTCACCTGTGAACCATACTGACTGAGGCTCTCAAAGCCGACACGCTTGGCCAGTGAGATGCAGGCGATCCGCCGGGGCTGGGTGCATGCCACGTGACTGAAGCCAGCAGCCAGCAGGTACTGGGGCACCTGAGTGGACTTGCCACAGCCGGTGTCACCAGCCACCACCACCACCTGGTGTTCCTTCAGTGTCTGCAGGACGCGGTTCCCGTACTGGGCAATGGGGAGGGCCGCCCGCTCACGCTGCAGCTTAGCCAGACGCCCAAAGGCCTGCTTCTGGCCAAAGTCCAGGTAGTGCAACAGGGCTCGGCGGAACTCAGACACTCTCTCGGCGGGCAAGTGCCTGCCCAGCTCCCGAGAGCCCCGCGTGTCAGGGCCCAGAACAGAGAGGTTGATGCGGTAACGTGGGTCGTAAGTGCGAGGTAGGTCGGCCAGGGCTGGGATGCTGTGCTTGGGATGCCCGGAGTCTTTCTCCTCCTTCCTGGAGGTTTTGAGATTCTGGAATCTCTGCAGGCGTTCAAAGAAGGTCCAAAACTTCTGACATTCCTCAGAACCCTGACGGATATAATCCTCCTCACGGAAGAAGGCATCTTCCAAGAGGCGACGTGTCTCTGGACAACTCCAGTCCCACTTCTCCAGGGCCTCTTTCTCACGGGGAGCCCGGGGGTGGTCTCTGCAATCCCTGCCCTCCCTTGTTCTAGGAGGAGGCATGTTAGTAATCACAACGGGGGTCTCAGTTCTGATCACCCAGAACAAGTATTCTCATCCGTTCCATTCCTGCAGCAGTTTAAGAGGCCAGTGCTGCAACATCGAACCACTTTCTCTTCAAAGAGCTAATTTTTCCTCCTGGTCACGGCACGGGACCAGCACAGATGAAAAAGTGGCCCAGGGCCTGCTTGAGCTGGTGACACACAGGGCACCTCATGACACCGGTAGTGATCTCTTGGATGGACACAAGTTCACGCTGGGTTTTCAGGCCCTGGTTTCTTGGGAGAGAGAACAGAAGACATTCATTAGCTTTTTGGAACACTGCCTTTTTTTTTTTTGAGACAGTGTCTCACTCTGTTTCCCAGGCTGGAATGTAGTGGCACGATCACGGCTCACTGCAGCCTCGACCTCCTGGACTCAAGCAATCCTCCCACCTCAGCCTCTAAAGTAGCTGGGACTACAGGCACACACTACCACACCCAGCTAATTGTTCACTGTTTGTAGAGTGATGTTGCCCAAGTCTATGTTGCCCAGGCTGATATCAAACTTCTGGGCTCAAGCAATTTCCCCACCAGCCTCCCAAAGTGTTGGGATTACAGGTGTGAGCCACCGTGCCCAGCTCATTTTTAGACACATTTCTAACAGCCTGTTTTTCAACCACTTACTAGGAAAAGGAGGTAATGATCACCATTCACAAATGGCCATGATCACATGCTCTCATGTGACACACACACCACCAGACTGTGACAATCCAGTGATGGGGACTGTGATAAGAGAACCCTGGGGAGCTGTGGGAGACCAAAGGAGGTGCCTACCCATGCTTGGGTATCAGGGAAGGATACCCAAGACCTAAAGGAGAGATGTAGGTCACATGCCAACCAACAGCAGAATCTTGTCTTGAAAGGCAGTAACGAGGCCGGGCATGGTGGCTCACGCCTATAATCCTAACACTTTGGGAGGCCGAGGTGGTGGATCACCTGAGGTCAGGAGTTCAAGACCAGCCTGGCCATCATGGAGAAACCCCATCTTTAAAAACAAACAAACCAAAAAAACAAAACAAAACAAAAAAGGCAGTAACAGGAGAGAGGCATGATATAAGGAAAAGAATAAGGCAAGTGTTCTTCACCCGGGGTCCAATGAGATTCAGAACACTGAGATAAAAGGCAAAATTTTTGCAAGTGTTATTTTTGTTAACATTGTTATTGTGTTATTTTTTGTCTGCTTGGCACAACCCTTTACTTTTTTTCTGAGAAGTGTCCACCTTCCTTTGGAGAACAGCCCTTCCTCGATTCTACGTGGTTCTGAGGGCCTTTAAATCAAAGAACCGCTATTGGGTAGGCAAGTGACAAAGACCTGGCCAATCGTGGTGCACTACTTCCCTTCTAACCAATGATTGGTTTGAGAAGTGGACACATGATCCAAGAAGGGCCAATCAGGGCCCTTTTGTGGAATTTACACTCGGTTGCTAAGAGAGAAAAATTCTCATTTTATCTGTTGTAATCAGGCCCATTTGGTATAAGCCTGGAGCTGTTTGTGGTAGCTCTGGAACATGACAGTCTTTCCTAAAACTCCATCCTAGAGAAACAACTAGATACAGGCACAAGGATGGTCACTGTGCAAACGCAGGGAGAGGTGAAAGGGAAAGGAAGAGAAGTTTGGCAATATCATTTAGTGCTTGAAGCTTAGTTCCCTTCAAAACCCCCACTTCTCAGCTACACAAGAAAATGCCTTTTGGCTTAAAGTTGGAGTTTTTTGCTTTTGTTTTGATACAAAGTCTCGCTTTGTTGCCCAGCCTGTAGCCTGATCTCAGCTCACTGCAACCTCCACCTCCTGGGTTCAAGTGATTCTCATGCGTCAGCCTCCCAGGTAGCTGGGTTTACAGGCATGCACCACCATACCTGGCTAATTATTTTACTTTTAGTAGATAGCATTTCACCATGTTGGTGAGGCTGCTCTCGGACTCCTGACCTCAAGTGATCCGCCCACCTCAGCCTCCCAAAGTGCTGAGATTATAGGTGTGAGCCACCATGCCCAGGCTTAAGTTGGGTTTTCGACTCTCAGCTGGAAATATCCTAATAAAGGGCACACACACCCTCACATGTGCAATCTTCTGGAGGGAAGTTAGTCACTGAGATTCTTAAAGGGGTTTATAACCATAAAAGGGTTCAGAGCCCTTGTTGCTGAAGGCATTAGGGTCAGGCAGATTTGGGTTTGAATCTCAGCTTCATCATGTATTAAATATGTGGCCCCTGGGCAATTTTTTTTTATACAGAGTCTCAGTCTGTTGCCCAGACTGGAGTGCAGTGGCGTGTTTCAGCTCACTGCAACCTCCACCTCCCAGGCTCAAGTGATTCTCCTGCCTCAGCCTCCCAAGTAGCTGGGATTACAGGCACGCACCACCACACGCAGCTAATTTTTTGTATTTAATAGAGACAGGGTTTTACTATGTTGGCCAGGCTGGTCTCGAACTCCTGACCTCAAATAATTCACCCACCTTGGCCTCCCAAAATGCTGGGATTATTGGCATGAGCCACCTTCCCCACATCCCTGGGCAAATTAACCTGAACTAACTCAAGGCAGTTTTCATCATGTATAAAACAGAGATAATATCTATCTCAAAACCTTACAACTTTTAACCATCAAGCTTGCTAGAGAAAAGCTAAACAGTTCAACAGCAACTAGTTTTTCCCTACGATAAAACAGGACTAATGTGCAGAAAACAGCAAGAGGAAGTGGGGCAAAATCTGGAAACAAAATTAGACTCAAAAGGCCACAATTCCCTATCGTAATGGTGTTAACAATGCTTCCACCTTCTCTGCATTTCCTGTTCTAGGAGGGAAGCAAGTTGAGGTCTTGGAGTGTTACTGTGACTCTGGGCCAGTGATTCTTAGAAAACGAGAGCATTGGCCGGCCGCTGTAGCTCACCTGTAATATCAGCACCTTAGGAGGACAAGGTAGGTGGATCATAAGTTCAGGAGTTTTGACACCAATCTGACCAACATGGTGTCACCCCGTCTCTACAAAAAATACAAAATTAGCTAGGCATGGTGGCACATGCCTGTAATCCCAGCTACTCGGGAGGCTGAGGCAGGAGACTCGCTTGTTCGCGGGAGGCAGAGGCTGCCGTGAGCAGAGATCGTGCCACTGCACTCCAGCCTGGACAACAAGAGCAAAATTCCGTCTCAAAACAAAGAAAAAAAAAAAATTTTTTTTTTTTTTTTTGAGACAGAGTCTCACTCCGTCGCCAGCCACCAGACTGGAGTGCAGTGGCACAATCTCGGCTCACTGCAACCTCCGCCTCCTGGGTTCAAGCAATTCTCCTGCCTCAGCCTCCTGAGTAGCTGGGATTAGAGGCACGCGCCACCATGCCCAGCTAATTTTCGTTTTTTTAGCAGAGACAGGTTTTCACCATGTTGGCCAGGATGGTCTCCATCTCCTGACCTTGTGATCCGCCCACCTCGGCCTCCCAAAGTGCTGGGATTACAGGCATGAGCCACCGCACCCGGCCAAAACAAAAAGTTTTTTTTTTCAGACAGTGCCTCACTCCCTAACCCAGCCAGGAGTGCAGTTCAGCGCAACCACAGCGTAGTGCACCCTCAACCTCCCAAGCTCAAGCAAGCCTCCCACCGCAGCCTCCCAACGTGCTGTGATGATAGGGTGAGCCACGGCGCCCTCCTTCGCATTTTCTGTTTGAATCTTTTTTTACTCCCTTGTCTTTCCAGTGTTAATTCTCCATCACCTTCTCTCTCCATTTCTCCATCTAATACTTTGTCTCTCGATATCGGAAGCTTTAATAATAGCTAGCACTGACTTACTGCTTACTCACGTACACACACAGATCTATTCTAGTCACACCTATGTACACACACACACTTTCCTCACAACTGTAAGGCACTACGATCAGTGCCTATCTTACTGAGCCATAGAGAGGCTGAGTGGCCAAGTAGCAGATGAGGAACTCAAATCTAGGGGTTCGGGCTCCACTCCCCCACTTTTCCACTTCTCAGCATCATCCTCCATTATCTCCAGTTTTTGTGGGATTCTCCCTACTTCACTGTCTCCATCCATCCATATCCCTCGGTCTCCCCCACGATTCAGCGTCTCGTTTCTCCATCTAAATCCCACTTTTTGTTTCTAGCGTCCACGATCAGCTTCCTACTTTTCCCGCCACTCCCCAACTTCACGGGCGACCACGCCTCTCGGCTTCGTGGTCTCTTAGCCTCCAGCTGGAACTCATCGGCCCCCTCGCCCACGCTCTCTAGTTTTCAGCTTCCCTCCTCTTCCAACACCCTCGTCTTTCAGCCCCTCAGTTTCTCGAGGCATGTTTTCGTGCCTCCATTTCTTTCCGCCTCTGGCCTCTCTGTCACCCAGGTTCTCCCAGGGACGCTCAGGTGCCATCTCCGTCCGCGTCTGCCGACCCTTCGACTTCCTCTCACATTCCTTCTCATTTCGAGATTTCCCTCGCCCCTGGGCCCATCCTCAAACTACCCCAGAACGGCCCATCTCCGGCAACTGTCGCCGCCACCACCCAGCGTACCCGCCCCGCTCACTTACTACAAGCCACGAACGCCTTAACTTCCGGTCCCAAGTGCCCGAGTCTTGCGCCTACGCACACCGCCCTCTCAGTTTAACCTCGCCCCCCAGCCAATCGGAAGCTCAGGGCTGCCCAAGACCCACCCTGCGCCTGCGCATAGCACACTTCCGCCCCGCCTCGCTTGGGGCGGAGCCTCTGGTGATTGCACCCTCTAGAGGCCATTGGAGGCGTTGCAGTAGAGACTTGCAAGCACCTCCTCCCCGGCCCCGCCCTCTCGTTATCAAGCATAACCACGTGCACCCCAGCTCTGGGATGCTGGAGAGTTAACCCAAAGAGAGAGCTGGCCTAGGCACTTTTTTTTCTGAGATGGAGTCTCTGTCTCCCAGGCTAGAGTGCAGTGGCGTGATCTCAGGTCCCTGCAACCTCTGCCTCCCAAGTTCAAGCCATTCTCCTGCCTCAGTCTCCCAAGTAGCTGGGATTACATTTGCAGCGCCTGGCTGATTTTTGTGGAGTTTTTTCTTTTCTTTTCTTTTAAGACAGGGTTTCACCATGTTGGTCAGGCTGGTCTTGAACTCCCGACCTCAGGTGATCCGCCCGCCTT